CCAAACTTCCCAGTTGCAAGAGAGGTTAGGGACTACTGTCACAAATAAACCTTAAAACTCAGACTCCATTAACAAACAAACTGAGTGACTAAATGTGACTCAAGGTGAAACACTAATAATACCTTTCCATAGTAATTCCAGCCCTGGAGGCACTAGATAAAATGGCAGTCAGTGCAATTTGGGAAGGTGTGTATAAAAGGCAAGCGTCCGTCAATGCAATTCTATTAAGAAAGTCATCGGCTGTTTTCCTCAAAATCTCTGGATTCTCCAACATGGGATAGCGGGTCTACAAAGAAAGTTTGCAAATGTTGCCATTTCTAAGGGTTTAATAGAGTAATAACAGTTCAAAAATACACACCTCACAGTAAGATATACATGCTTTACAATAACATATCTACAGTTCCCAGCATAGTACTTGACACTATTTTCAATTTATGTTAATTCTTTCTCTCTCCTTTCCACCAAAGGAGAAAGGGAAAGGATTCCACTGGATCTAAAATAGACCACAGAAACATATTCCTAAGTAAATGTTTCTATCAACTAAGGTGATTCAGATGTAAAGCCACATTTAGGAAAATAGGAAAACACCTCATTTTTATACACAACTCCTACTTAAAATTATTTGGGAGAAGACGAAAATGAAAGTGAATCTTGGTTTGATTGGAACCTACTAAATTTCCCAAATACCTACAAAATAATTTTTAGTATGTGCACAAGAATATGGAAGACTTCCTTTTTCCTAACAATTCCTCATCTTTTAAAATGAATCCTAAATTCTAAGCCCTAAGATTTATCAGCTACCCACATTCAACACCTAAAGCAGTAAGAAATTTCTACACTCTGAAAGAAAATATCCAGAGTCAATTGTGCAAATTACCTGACCTTTCATATGACAAATTCAGACACCCTACTCTGACCACAAAGCCCCTTTTCCCAACAAATTTGCTCACTTCACAGCTGTTCTCCCTCCTCAGAACCTTCAGCCACTTATCCCTCTACTTGCTGCCACTTACCAGTGTCCTCTGGTTCCCATTTCAGTCTTGAATTCCCTGCCCCAATATGCTGCTGGCACATCTGTGGCAAAACTTTGGCAGTGGTCGAACCCAACCCACTGTTAGTTTTGCAATTATTTAGGTATCACCAGAGAAAACCACATCCTCTAGAGGTCTGGTACCATTCCCATAAACTCACGTTCACTGATCTCAGCAAGGCTAGCTTTAATATTAATGTTCCATAGAAAATTTGTTCTCTCATTTTTCAGTGACTGGTAATAAACATTTTCCACCTGTCTTAATGTCTTCAATAATTCCCAGAAACTCCATCAATGTCAGAAAATGGTCTCCGCTCTTAACAAAGAAAGGCCTTATTTCCTGCCACCACCAAATCCCTAAGTACAATAGTATCCAAACCAGTACTTTCCCCTTTCCCTTCGTTAAAAGAAAGAGCTACCATACCATCTAAATCCAATTCTCCCTCCTTGCTTTGAATCCCATCACAACCTTACTCCAAAGAGAATATTTTTCCACCTTACTCCAAAGAGAATATTTTTCCATTTTCCTTTAATCTTTCTCTCACTTCTAGCTCCCTGCATCAACATTTAAATATGCATCAGTCTCTTCCATAAAACAAAACACAGAAACAACAAAAAATCTCCCCTACGGGGCCATAACCTGGGAGCCCTTCTGTACTCACTCTATATGCAATCAATCTTCAAGTTCTGTTGACTCTACCTACTATAGGATGAGCATTCCAAACCCAAAAATCTGAAATCTGAAAAGCTCCGAATCTGAAACATTTTGAGCACTGACATGACACACAAAGGAAATTCTCATTGGAGCATTTCAGATTTTCAATTTGGGCTGTTCAATTGGTAAGTGCAATGTAAATATTACAAAACCCCAAAACACCTGAAATCCTAAATGCTTCTGGTCCCAAGAGTTTAGGTAAAAGATACTCAACCTGTATCATCAGGAAGCTCTCTCTATACTCACTGCCTTTGTATGAGTCAAGCCAACTGTCATTTTTTTTGGCCTGTACTACTCTAACAGCACCCTGTTATCTCTCAATCCATTTGTGTGTGTGTGTGTGTGTGTGTGTGTGTGTGTGTGAGACAGGGTTTTGCTCTGTCCCCCAGGCAGTAGTGCAGTGGCACAATCATGGGTCACTGCAGCCTTGACTTCCTGGGCTCAGGTGATCCTTCTGTCTCAAGTAGCTGGGACTATAAGAGTGTGCCACCATGCTCAACTAATTTTTGTATTTTTTGTTGAGATGATGTCTTACTATGTTGCCTAGACTGATCTCGAATTTCTGTGCTCAAGTGATTCTCCACCTTGGCCTCCCAAAATGCTGGGATTACAGGCATGAATCACTCTGCCTGTCAATCATTCTAATCCATTCATCACATTGTGCCTGACACATACAGATGTGCAATAAAAGATCTGATACAGGCTGATGCATGAGCTGCCAATAGGATTTTTTGAGAGCTGCAAACCTAATCATGTCATTCTCTAACTTAAACTTCTCACTGGCTTCTCTTTGTCGTATTCAAAATCTTCAACATTCTATCTCCCCAGTCTAGACTCTGCCTTCTACTCAGGCAGCTGCACTCTGGCACTTCCCCTTGTGACTCTAGGCTGTTTAGGTTCTCCAGCACACCAGTTTCTTTAATCTGAACCTTTGACCAGGGAGGTCTCCAACTGGGATGCTCTACCCTCACCTATTCCTACTCTTACTCTAAATTTTACTTTAAATGACAGTTTCTCAGAAATGTTTTCCTTACCCTTCGATCTGTTACCTTCCTCTAAAGTACACTTACCTCTCTGTATCATTTGGCACAATGGATATGTAATCACAGTCTAAAACCATTAGACTGCAAGGTCCATGAAGATTGAGACTTTTTCTGTCTTGTTTCTAGTTATATCCTCAAGCACAAAGTTTGGCATATAGAAAGTACCCAAATTAAGCTGCTCAATTGATATGAGTGAACCACTTTCTGACTTCTGTTTGACTCTTCTCAAACTATCCAACTTCTCTTTTAGGGCCAAAACAAAACTTAACTCACTTTTGACAATGTTTACTTACTTGTATTTTTGATGCCCATGTAGTACTCAATTTCATAGAACAGTAAAAACAAAAGTCGCTTAGGGATCTTCTCATTTAAAATTAAGACTCTTTTATGGCTCTCTAGTTCATAAGGCCTAGATCCATGACAAGTTAAGTCTTTAAAAGCATTACTCTACAGTTATAATGGTCTTTATGGTCCCTGGACAAGGATTTATTCATCACTAAATCAGAAACTCTCGAAGTCTCACCCAAGAATATGAGTTAACAAGTCTCCAAGTGTCTCTGGAGTTTGGAAACTATTGCCTGAGAGGTCCAGGCCAGATTCAGTTTGCATTCACACTGTAACAATCAGGATAACCATGAGTAGCAAAATTTTAAATTCTTTCGGTTAAAGAACAATAGCAAAGGAAAACACACTATTAGTTTACTTTATGTCTACAAGTTTACCTTTAAATCAATGAGGAAGCCCTCAAATGGTCTGTAAGGATTATGGACAATAAGGTGGAAATTAAGTTGCTGTATAAGAAGTAGTTCATATTCCAAAATCTGTTCAAGTGCTTTCTCCTGTCCAAGAGGACTCTCCCGAAGGTTTCCAACAAATTGAGGACTAGATACATTAAATTCATCTACTTTGCAGGCCAAAAATGCACAAGTGAGCCTAGAGGAAAAAATAAGGGAGGGCAGGGAAACATGCATTTATTTTAAGAAACGGCTAAATATTTTATTTCTAAAAGTATATGCTAAAATTACCTAATAGTAAAAAGTGACTATGCTAGACATTGCAGAAAATTTTTTTAAAAAGGTAATTCCTGTCCAAACTTTTATCTATTATGATATAGTAGACAACCTATAAAATTAGGTCAAACCATCTATATTACCACAGCATTCAATTATTATCGACTCAATGGCAGTTTTATAGAGTTCAACCTAAATATCTGGAAAAACTAACTGAGGAACAAAAGTATTGTTAGCATTAGTTGTAGATGAAAGAATTAAAAAATAAACAGTACACACATATGTACCATTTAAGTATGGGAGGAAAGGTAGGTAAAAGAAACTAGTAAAAGGCCATCAGTGGAAGTCGTCAGGGGCATATGAGTAGGTGATTATTACCTCAGGCACAAACCTATGAAATTCACCTGGCCACTATGTGATGTTCAGAGTAAGACACTATCAAGAAAGCTACTGCAAAAATCAAGATTGGAAGTAAGATCAAGGACGTGACCTTGACTGGTAGAAATGAGAATGAAAACAAACAGAAAACGAGATTGAGGAATTTCATACTAATTTCATTTTTATCTTGAATGATATGCCTAGTGCTCAGCAGAGCACAGAAACTAAAGAGACCTTTGTTCAAGTGAAACGAATATGAAGTTAAAGGATTTGTAAACTGGTTGGATGTGCAGGTAGAGAAATCACAAATGATTCTCAGACTGAACAACTGGGAAGAAAAAAGGTGTCACTAACAAAAAAAATATTAGGGAAGTAGCTAGTTTGAGAAAACCAGAATTTGAATTTGAACAAGCTGAAGTTTATTTGCCATCGGTATTATAGGAGGTATAGGTAAATGGGGATCTTAAGTTTTCTGAATAGAAAAAAATTTAAGTCTAAATACTCTTTATTAGAAAGGCAGGTCTCTCTCTCTCTCACACACACAAACACACACACACACACACACACACACACACACACACACCCAAATAGTATAAACGTCTTCCTAAATGAAAACAATAAATCAGGTTTATACTCACATTATTATCCTGGGGTGATATTCCATTACTGAGTTATTAAGATAAAAACGTTTGAAGTACATACAAGCTGTACCCTAAGGTTTAAAAGAACACGTCAGGATCTATTTGCACATGTCACATGTCCAATTTTGTGAAAAGAAGTTATTCATGCAAAGATTTATTTGAAAAGATTACCCATAAAAATACTAATACTTGTTAAGTCCTCTTTAACCAAAATTAACTGTGATGAATTACTACAAAAATGCCATAGCCAAAAGATCCCTTCCTACCCTTTGGTTGTCAACCTCCAACCTACCCTTCTTATGATCCCTGAATTTAAATATACATAGGCATGGGTGTGTGTGTGTGTTAGAATTCTGAGAATCAAAATGTCCTGAATTAGAAAAATTCAAGAAAAAAATGCAAATTTTCACAGATCAATCTTGTAAAAATATTGACAGAATAACATGGGTGGAACAATGTCTTCTCTCTAATTCTACTACAGATTTGTGACATTAACTGTTTTCACTGCTGCAAACTAAACTGTATTGTAGAAGTAGTACCCACCATCACTGAATGCATGTGCCAGACTGCCAAACACAAAACTACCATCCTATATTAATCCTTACCATGGCTTAATGAAGTATTACCATCTTACTTTACAGAAGAAAACTGGGTATCACCAAGATTAAGTGACTTATTCAAGATGACATATCTAAAATGAAACAGGGCTGAATTTACTAAGACCTGCCTGTACTTTCAACCATTATGCCATTTGGCTAGAACTAGAAAATAACCACTTATCCCTTTTATGATTTAAAAAAAGATTTTCTTTTAAAATATCTTAAAAGTTTAGTTTTGTCATTATAAGTAAAAGATAAAGAAAATTCTCCACCAATCATAAACATGTTGTACAAAGATAAATTCCATAAAAAAGTTCATTCAAGGTTTCAGTTTCTTCATTTGGTAAGATTGCTTACACTTACTGCTTCATTTCACAGTTCTTTCACAACAATACACCAAATCAGGTGTTAGAAACTAATCAAGTATATCTAAATTTCTTTGTGAATCTGTTCTCTCAGATAAATATGTGGTACACTAAGAAAATAAAACATTATAAACACTTATGAATTTTCAACACAAATTTTTTTTCAACTATGAAAATGAAGATAATTTCTTAGAATTATTCTCTATTGGGTCATGAGCTAGTTACTATGTATAACTTTAAAACTTAACACAGACTTTCACTTTAGATAGACTTTTATATTTGATCTTCACAACAAACCTGTGAGATAATTAGCAAGGTAAAAACATTTTACACTCTCCCATTCCAGCTTTTTTTATTTTCAGCTTTTTAATCTCAGCTACCAGTTTCTCCTCATCATTGCCCACCCCAGCAAAAAACAAAAAACAGGTTTATACATCTGAAACAACTACAAGACAATCTTTTTAACCAAAAATAAAACTCTAGCTACTACTAACCAAGGTTTGGAAAGATCTCATGGCATCAGTTTCAGGTGGGCATATGATAACAATTGACAAATATATTACTTCAAACATGTACAGTATTGGGTATTACAGAGTTGGAAAAGCACTAGTCCATATTCTAATCCCAGTTTTACTGCTCACTAGTTGAGAACTTGGAAGGAAAGGAACTTAATTTTTTATTTCTCTAAAGATGAGAGTATCATACGTGCAGTAAATCTCAAAATTCTTTTGACAAAAAAATAAGATGTAAAATACTTTCTAAGATATGATAAAACAATTCATGATTTAAAGGCCTTTTTATTGAAAAATACATCATGTGACAAAAACTGAACAAATATAACTAAGGGAAATTTTTGAAAGTAGAGCAGATAGGAAATTTAGTTATAAATTTAGATGAGCCAACTAAAGGACATCATACTTATGAAAGCCAACTAAAGGACATCATACTTCATTACTATTATAACTTACCACAACAGACCTTGGCATTGCTGGCTTAAAAACAGAACAGAACTCCAATAATCTTTTCTCATAGTATTTGCAGAGTGTCATTTCTTCATGAGGCTCAAGAAAGACTGGATCATTTGGAAGAATCTTTAGGTCAAAAATACAAGTTCAGTGAATTAGACAATCATAAAACATTTTTTCTGTCCAAATTAAATTAAGCTTATCTCTCCAACAAAGAAGAACAGACCATGCCTCGTTTTCTCTTTATAGATTTGCTAATCGTTACACAAAATAGTTTTAGGAAAATATTTAATAAACTAGAAGTGCACCATCATTTCATAATCTCTCAGAATCTTAGCTGGATCTCTGCTACACGAAGGCATAAACAATCATGTTAGAGCATGTGCATGCTCACAGGTTTGATGTCATTTTTAAATTTAAAAGATGTATATTTTTGGTTGTGGAAAAGCTTCCAACAACTTTATTGGTCAATCATTTTGTCACACAGGTTGAAGAAAAAAACCAGCAAATGCTTCAATAAATTTCTGCTATTTTAAGCTACACAGTTTGAGGTGACTTTTTTTTTTTTAAGGCAGCCCTAGAAAACCAGTTAATACAGGTGCTAAAATCAGTGCTATGAAACTGACACAAGCTACAGATGAAGGTAAAGTAGCTCAGTGCCAATAGTTTGGAGGCATCAAGTACTCGCTGGAGCGAAGTCCATACGGGTGGAGGTTAGGCAAGGAAAATGAGACCCAACTGGGAGTCAAACAAAAGGGAACTGCCTGGCGGACTACGGTCCCAACCGTCTCCGGTCTCTTTCCCTCATAGGCCCCTTCAACCCTGGGCTGCCAGGGGCTCCTTTGAAAACGGAAAGTTGACCAGGTAAACACTTCAAGGGCTCCCCTTCCTTCCAGCATAAATGTCACACTCCTTGTTTCCGCTTACAGGTTAACCCTGCTTCGAACACACGGCCACGAGGCCTCCAGCACCAGCCCCGCAGCTCAGCTCTACTGCCACCTTCGCCTACCCGGAACGTCCTCTCCCCATCTCCCCCGGCGTCGCCGCCGGCTAAGCCAAGGCCCTCGCCTGCTCCCACCTCGGCATCCTACAAAGTCCCTTCGTCACGCTACCGAGACAGGCTACTGAGTGTCGGTCATCCGACTACGCGGACAGCTCGTCTCTGTATTCACAAGAGCCAGCAGGCGCTAGCCTGTTTTCGCAGATGAACTAGGGGCACCGCGCGGGGCCGGGAGAGCTCTGCACTGCTCAGCGTGTGGAGACCAAGCACGGGCCGCCGCTGGGCCTCACCTTCCCGTTGGCCACCGCTTTGCATTTGAACTTGCGATTGGCGTCGGCCCGCAGTCGGGCCAGCTGCTCCTCGCTGGAGAAGGTCCAGTGACGCTTCTGGCTGCTGTTGTGGTACATCGTGGAGTCCAAGCGGCGGTCCACAAAGACCACAGGAAAGGACTTCGCGCGCAGCAGCCCCGTGCCCTGAAGCGGCCGTGCCCCGGCAGGATTCTGCGGAAGACTAGGGTGTCCGGTTGGCGGGCGCAGGGGCGTGACGTCACGGTGTCGCACTTCCGGAGCGGGCTAGGTCTAGGAGATCGTCTCCCGGGTACGTCGGACCGCCTCCTGCGACGCAGGTGGGCGTAGCCTACCGGGCGCTCTTTTTCCGAGAGCCTGGGATATAGCTCCGCCTCCTCCAGGCAAAATTTAAAGGAGAAGCGGCAGGCAAGGGTGTCCAAAGGGACATAAATTGAGGATACGGAGTTGACTGATATAAATTCGCAGGAGTAATCAAAAGTGGGGAAAGGGCTTGGGAGGGTGTCAGTTATTAAATAGAGGCTTCCATGGAAGTTGACATTTGTGCAAAGGAGCAACAGGCCTGACGGTCAATGGGGCAGATCATGAAGCAGAGAATAGTGAAGGTCCTAAGGCAGAAGCATCCCTAGCCCTAGTAAGGAAGAGTTTGGAGACTATTCTTGGAACTCTACCAAAAATCTCAGAGAATAAAAGAACATGATTGGAAAACTAGAAGTAGTGGGTGTGTCCTTACTGTTCTACTAACGCGGCTTTGTGTGTTCTCTCCCTGTGCGTTTTTCCCTGCCCTTCTCTTGATAACTAGCAATCCTCTCCTCGTTTCAATCTATGAAACCAAAATGTAGGGTAGTTTTAGGGTTTTCTTGAGATTTCCATTTTCATTATTGCCTCCCAGGAGCCTTACAATACGCTGTCATTAATCTTAAGAGATTCCTTTTTTATAAAAATTATTAGGACTGTCAAAATTGCAGCTGTGATACAAAATTTACATCGATTCTGGGTTTGTTCCCATTTAGGAATACCTCACTCTCCTGTGTATCATACATCCAAGGGAGAAAGATGGATTTATCTATAGAAAACAGTTTTTTCTTTAAAAAAAAAAATCAGAGCCAGGTTCGGTGGCTCAGCCTGTAATCCCCACGCCTTGGGAGGCTGGGGTGAGTGGATTGCCTGAACCCGAGGGTTTGAGACCAGCCTGGGCAAACTGGTGAGACCTCATCTCTACAATAAATCAAAAATTAGCCGGGTGTGGTAGCGCGTGCCTGTAATTCCAGCTACTTGGAAGGCTGAGGCGGAAGGATCGCCGGAGCCCAGCAGGTCGAGGCTGCGGTAGCCAGGAGCAGCCACTGCACTCCAGTCTAGGCGACAGAGTGAGACTCCAACTCAAAAAAAAAAAAAAAAAATCAGATAAAGATGATGAGAACCCAGTCTTGAAAAGCTCACAGAGGTAAAAAGAAATAGCAGCATGACATTAACTCTGTTTTCTATGAAAATGTTTTTAGAACCTTAAAAAAGGGAGAATCTTTTCTTTCTGCTTCATTTTTTGGGTGTAGTTGAGGGTAAAGTTTTCCGCTGGTATTTGAATTCCTCAAACCTATACAATCTGTAGTTAATAATCATGGAGAGCCACACACCCCTTCAGCTCATGTGGATAATCTTGACAAATAAATTGACTAAGAAAGAAAAGATAAAAGAGAAAGAGAAGATACCATGTGCTGAGGAAGGGCATGTCAGGTAGAGCTTAAGAGTGGTGAAGAACCTAAATTGTTTGCATTGCATCATGAGGAAAGAATAAAAGGAAAAAACCAGAAAGGTACAAAAGAGGAAGGAAAGGAAATGATCTAGATAAATAAATGTCTACATAAAATATTAGGCTCATAACAGTTATATATACCATATACATTCTCTTTATTTTGTTTTCCTGAAAGATATTTGACAAATCCTTAGTTTTATGCCAAAGAAAACAACAATGGGTATTTGAGGGAATTGGCAGAATATGATTTCCACAGAGATATGAGTATAGTTTCAGAATGTTATTTAGGAAAACAAACATGAAAAACATGATGGTGCTGATGTAACTTTTTTAAAACCGTGAAGAAATCTTAGTTTATGAAAATTGACATCGACCATATTTTTCAGATGTAGTTGGAATTGGACTATATCTAAGTTAATTGTCCACAGAATAAAATTGTTACTGATGTCCTAACATTAAGGCTCATATGTGATTCCTTATTAAAGTGAGCAGGCTGTATGCTGTATGAGTCAGTCAGCCTGAGTGACCATTTCCTGCTTAGTCTGTTGTGCACCAGTTTGTTTTTTGCTATTGCTATAACAGAAGGCAGATTGGGGAACTTGGTGCCTTTACCTATTTCTATTTCTAATTTTCACTAAAAAGTAGCAAGTGTTTTTGTCCACTCTTTATTTATGGAAAATTTCAAATATAAAGAGTGGAAACATATTTCAAAAATGATCAGTATATGGCCAATTCCCCTCCACCTACCACCCCGACCCCATTACTTTTAAATCACTTTTCCCCCTGCTTCTAGATCTCCATATTTCAAACAAACAAAACAGACAGAACTTCTTCTTCTTTGAAGAATACTAATAGGGAAATTAACAACTTGACAAAGATATTACTATTTCATTAGACACTACCCAGAAGTGAAATATTAACAAAAAAAGATTTCAGTAACTTTTAAAAGTGAACACAGGCTGTGTGCAGCGGCTCACACCTGTAATCCCAGCCTGCCAGGAGGCCCAGGTGGAAGAATTGCTTGAGCTCAAGAGTTTGAGACCAGTCTAGACAACATCACATAACCTTGTCTCTACAAAATAATAAAAAAATTTAGCTGGTGTGGTGATGTGTGCCTGTAGTTCCAGCTACTCGGAAGACTAAGGTGAAAGGATCTCCTGAGCCCAAGAGGTCAAGGCTATGGTGAGTCATGATCATGCGACTACACTCCAGCATGAACAACAGACTGAGAGCCCAACTTGAAACAACAACAAACAAAAAGTGAACACAATCTCTTTTTTTGTGGTGTAGTTGTTACATCGTGTCATAGTATGTATTTATAGACAAATTCTAAACATTTTGACTGCCGGCATTACTTCTAAACTAAGGGTTGACAGTCAGAGATCAGGTGATACAGAGCAGGTGTCATCTGCTTGGCCACCACAGAAGTGTTCTCTACTTCTCTGCGTGCTATTCCAAAGTTTCCCATGGGTGTCTTTGGATTTCCTCTCTTGCTTCGTGACACTCTTCTCTCCTCTTCAGGCTCTTCCTTAGTGATCTTAATGTTTTAGGAAAAATAAAAGTAAAAATCTGATTTTAGAAGAAAAGGGAAACTAAAACAGTGAGGAAGTGACCAATAAATATACTTGCAACTTAAAATAATGTTTCAGTATAATAAAAAAATCTTAGGTGGCCTGATTAATTTATAGTTCTTATTTCCCAAACACATCAGCATATTCATATTCACTTAGTTTCTGATTTCAAGGACACAACAAAAGAAGGCAGCGGGAAGAGAATAAACCACATCTATGCTCACAAAACACACAATATCTTGCTTTAAAATATGGCATGCAACTGTACTCCTTTAGCTACTGACATGGATTTATGACATTTTAAATATAGCTTTGCAATGAGTACTTAAAAACCATTAAGCCCTTTGCAATTATATTTGGTTAATACACAATTAGTATTGACTGTAAAATCCTTTCCTGGTTATATTCCCAGTTGTCAAGTTACAACTAAAAGAAGAAAGGGAGTTGCTTGCAGCAAATACCTAGTTTCTCCAAAACAGAGTACTTCTAGAGAAAAAGAAAATAAATAAAAGGAAGAAATAACATTTTAAAGATATCCTTGATCTAACTGTGATCCCCCCCCCAAAAGGCTGAAATGCTTTTTTTGTTTGTTTTAGGATGATTTAACATTAATGTGTAAAGAAGTCATGGACATACTAAAGAGTAAATTATACAAATCCAGCTCCAATCCACTGCAAATACTTACTAAATCACCACTATCTACAGGTCTGTTACTAATTGCTAGGTAGTAGTGACTATGATGACAGGGACACAAAAATGACTATCTCACAACTTTTGTTCTAGGGTCCTTAGAGTATAGCAGGATGATTGTAACATGTACATATACAGTCCCTTCTTAATGACAGTAACTTTGGAAAGAACTGGCAAATCCCCTCTCCTTTGCCCAAAACTTGAGTCAGGTTCCTCTGAGTCCTCTGCTTGACTAGACCTGACTTTTGGTTTCCCTGTCTGTTCTTGTACAGATGCTCTTTGACTTCCAATGGCGTTGTAACACAGTGACACCCACGTAAGAAACCTCACTTACTGAACATCATAGCTTAGCCTAGCCTACCTTAAACATGCTAACACCTACCTGAGCCTACAGTTGGGCAACATCATCTGGCAACACAGTCCACTGTGGCATGTTGGTTGCTCACCTTCATGATTGCAAGATGGCCTAGCCTCAGAAGAGAATATCATATTGTATATCAGTAGCCTGGTAAAAGATCAACATTCACATTTTGAAGTATGATTTCTACCGAATGTGTACTGCTTTTGCATTGTCAAATCAAATCATTGTAAATCTAGTATCATCTATAGATCCATTTGATCAAGAACCCTGCCAAGTCAGTTTAATGGAAATCCCCCAACTTCATGTTAGGACATCCTCAATATCTTATCACCTTGGCCTGCCTTCAGCAACAATCCTATCAAGTCAGTTTAGCCAGAAATACCTCTTCCTTGACTTTCCTCTTTGTGAATTTCCATCCACGGATTCCCACCCTGTTTCTTGGTTATAAATCACCACTTGTCCTTGTTGGAGTTAGGGTTGAGTCCAATCTCTCTGCCTCATTGCAAGATACCTGTTTCAGTGTCTCCACACTTATCTCCATAGCTCTTTGAATAAAGTCTTTCTTACAATCCTTAATAAACATCATGAATAATTTTTCCTTTAACAGGACCCATTAGGGACCTGATAATAAAATTTATTGTCTTTGAATGTTGATATCCAGTGCTAAAGTAGACAAGACCTTTACGTGAAAGACCTTCAATTCAGTGAAAGACGTAGAGCCTAGTTCATTCAGCTACATCCAGCTATGAAGTCTTTGTCTCCTCTGTTAGCCAGGGATCTGTGTTCAACATGATGGTTATTCCTGTGTGTGTGTGTGTGTGTGTGTGTGTGTGTGTGTGTGTGTGTGTGTAATCACTGTTAATAAAAA